AGTGGGAGCTATCAACAATCACTGTGTAATGATTTTGTTTCTACCTATTTATTTATTTACTACATTCATATTCCACCCTTCTCACCGCAAAAGGGGAACTCAGAGCAGCCTTACAAAAAGGCAGCAATTTGATGCCATGCACATACATACAGTAAAAAACAGACATATACATTAAAACCGAAAATCAACAGCAATATTAAAACAATTAATTAAAAGCACGTCATCCAGAGTCAAATCCAAGGCCATCCCATTAGTCATTTCATAATTCCATATACTAATACTGCACTAACTTGCAAGCCATTGCTATGTAATCATTGATTGGATGGTTTCTCTACTGACCCAATAAAGTAGCTTCAAACTATGAGGAATCTTAAAATTCATTTGCTAGCAGAAAGATAGAATACACCTTAAACAAATAAAACGAGCTCATTATTCTCAATAGGCATGAAACAGATGGCACTATTCATGCGAATCATGCTGGTAAAACAGGTGATAGCAAGTAAAATTATTCAGCCCAATATATAAGTTTGTCCCACTGTATCTGTGGTATTGTATTTTCTAAATAAGTCACATTTTAATCAAGATTCAGCACATGTCCATCTGTTTAGTAACCCAGTTGCCCAAGGCCAAATGCTTTATGCTTTTTTAAATACGTATTTATACAAACAGAGCTATGTCAGATCAATTGCTTTTAGTTATGCAAATCTTCTCCATTACATATAATTGTTGTGGCATTTTTTCTAATTGTTCATCCATAGTTTTTCTTTGTCATTTTGTGGTTTAAATCCATCATTACTTTTGGACACATAGCTAATAAATGGCTTTGATGCATTTTCAAATAGATCTTCTTTTATATCCCCTTTTGCTTATATTAATTTATAGGCTAACCTTTCTGATACCTCTGTAGCCCTTATGGAATTCTTTATTGATCAATTCTAGTTTTTTTCCATGTTATGACTATTTCAGGTCTTGTGGCACATAACATGAATAATAAAATATTTTTATTTGCCAAATCCTTACTCTTACTTTTGAAAATAGACTTCAGTATTAAAGCTCCCCTGAAGTGTTTTGTTTCCCTTACTACTCTTCACACATGACTATAGCAAACCTACCAGAAGTTACAGAACTATACAATGCTGAGATCTTTGAAAAGTTTCTTTTTGATTTCAACTCCCAGGAGTCCCAGCGAGAATTCCCAATGGCTATTCTAACCAGGGGATTCTGGAAACCGTAGTTCAGAAAAGTAACTTCTGGATCTGATTGATGTATGAATGGAAAGTTTTAGCAACAGCATCCCAGCTAAAGCTCAATTCCCATAGGCCAATACAATAATGGCCATGACCACACTAATATCAACACACCTGTCCCAGCATTAAAAGCTGGGTCAGAACTTGAAAACAAAGAAGCTTTTTTCCAAATGCTTGTCAAGAAAAGCTTGTAAATACCAAGCTGATTCTGAACTGAGCCAAAAGGAAGTTCTCCGTAACCAGTTAATGCTGCTGACAAATTCAAATATTTTTATTTGCTGTACTCCATGAAATCTGTGAAAGTATTTTCCTCTTCCCTTTAGCTACTGACCCTTCAAGGTCACTTTTATTTCATCAGTATCCATTTGAACTCAAAACCTAGGGTGGTTTTTATTATCTTTGATACAACTATTCTCAGAGTCTGGAGACAGTATAGTCTGCATCATTTAGCACATGCTAAACTGAAACGTGTCCAAAATTACCGTGTTTTGGCAAGAAATATGTTTAACTATACCATAAGGACATAGATATATGAATGTTTAATTCTCTGAACACAGCAATTATAAAATAAAGTATTATTGTTTTCTCTCACAGCTGCACTATAGTAAGATTACAAGGAGGCAGTAGTACATTTGTATTGAAAATAAGTCACTTGTTAGAATAAGCTGCCAGAGAGTAACCAGACAAATTATTTTACTGCTTCAAACTAAGTATTGCAGGATAACAAACAGTACATTTAACCAGCAGGAAATTATCAGCCTGAACCACAACTGAAAGTACTTAAGTTAAAGTACTAAACTGGCTTAAATCCAGGTTATTTAGACTAAATGGCTTCAATGCAGCTCTGGCTGTATCTCAGTTATTCTGGAGTTTCATGGTATTTATCTAGGGTCTCACCTACAACAACTGAAAGCTTGCATAGGCCTACAAAATCCAGAAATATGGATTTTTAAAATAGTGTTACATTTAATGTTGGTTCAAACATTGATGACAAATAGTTTGTAAGATACTTGAGTACAAGTTGAGTTTTTCAGCCCTTTTTTAAGACGTAAAAAGCCCTTCTTGGCTTATATACAAGTCAAGGTTATTTATTATTTGACTTGTTGTTGTTGTTGCTGTCATATTACATGTATTATTTTACTCTATTTATTATTATTACATTTATATTATTTTACTCTATTATTTTTATTACGTTTATTATTTTTCTTTATTATTGTTATTACATTTATTATATTACTCTGTTATTATTACATTGATTATTTTACTCTATTATTATTGGAAGGATACGTAGGCACATTTACACTGAAGAAGGTTGGAATAATGGCTTAATCAGAGTCGGACAGTCTTATCTTAAATTACAGTATTAAGTAAATATTCAAAAACATTGAATGTTCTGATGTCTCAATTTTATTGGTATCTATTTTTATTTTGAATTTTTCCAGTAGCTGCTGCATTTCCCACCCTCGGCTTATTCTTGAGTCAATATGTTTTTCCAGTCTTTTGTGGCAAAATTACATGCCTCAGCTTATATTCCGGTCAGTTTATACTCGAGCATATACGTATCAAAAATGTATCTGGGCATTGTTTGGATCTATCTTACCTGCCATTGATAAGTATACAATATCTGCATCAGGGTTGATACTACAAGTCCCATCAGTCCTAGGCAGTACATCCAAAGCTTTTTTTTCTATGAGTTTTAATCATCTTGAGGGCAACATTTTTCCCATTACTGATCAACCTTAGACTTCAGACTGAAGGCTTGTATTACACAATAAAATTAGTAACTTGAAAACATGAGTTGAGTGGCCCATCCATAGTTTGTTATGTTGTTTCACTTTTCATATTCCATTTTCAAATCAATCTACAGTATGTCCACTATGGGTCCTTTAATACTACACATTTATAGCACTTTGATTCCATTTTCTCTGCCATGTTGACATTCTATGAAATTTTGAACTTTGTCATTTTGAACTTTGTCATTTGAGAGGCATTAGTGTTCTCTGGCAGAGAATTCTAAATACCTCTCTTCCAAAACTGTAGCATCCCAAGATTCAATAGTTTCTTGTCATGGCAGCCAATGTGGAACCATAGTGCTACAATTGTGTAGTGTGAAAAGACCCTAAGACACAAAATACCCACAGCATAGTACAGGAAACAAAAGTTAGTATCCAGAGCAGTGATATATCTATTTTTGTCATACAATAAAGAAAAAAAATATGTTGTGTAAATGGGCCTTTAAGTCCAAATTTGTATATAGCTGTCCCTCCATTTGCAGGTTTCGCACTACTCATAGTTTTCATTATTTGCGAACCTGTTTCACTGTGACTGCCTCCCAAAGTTGGGGCTGCTGTGTAAACATTCACATGGTGGTCCACCCTCAGAAGATGAGCAGGTGAACTGTTCAGAAGGTGGGTGTGTCATGTGTTTCTGTCTTGCCTAAAACCTCCCTTCCTTTACCCAGGCAAAACAGACACTTGCAACACAGAGGAAGAGGAGGAGCCGGCTCTGCACACCACTATACTTATTCTATGGATCTGACTAATTTTCTTCTTGTGTGCCACAATGTCTGTTTCACCCAGGCAAAGGAAGAAAACAGGGGCATATGGTGCACACACAACAACAACAAGAAGAGTAATCACATCTGCTAGTAGGTGATGATGTGGGCGCACATGGAGGCAAGTTCCAGCTTTTTCCCAAATGAAATTGTTCACAATGTCTCAGGGCAACTCTATATTCATCCAAGGAGGTGGTCCACAAACTTCAGACCTCTGATGATGCTGGACTCAGAATACAATGCTGGCTGAGGGCTGAAGTCCAAAAGATTCAAGTTTGAGAACCACTGCTTCAAAACATTGCTGAAAACTACAGTAGAATCTCCCTTATCCAACAAAAACAGGCTGGCAGAACATTGGATAAGCAAAAATGTTGAGAAAATATTTATTTATTTATTTATTTAAAACATTTATATTCTGCCCTTCTCACCCTGAAGGGGACTCAGGGTGGAGCACAGCATATATATGGCAAACATTCAATGCTGGGACACAAATTCTTATATACATACATAAACATTAAAAACATTTATCCAAATATTAAAATACACTATTTAAAACCATCCTAGTCATCCACATCAAATCTAATTGGCCTGGTAATCTTTCCTATTGCTGCTTTATTGTCTTGTCCCGAAAGCTTGGTCCCACAGCCAAGTTTTTACCATCCTTCTAAAGGACAGGAGAGAGGGGGCTGACCAGATCTCACCAGGAAGGGAGTTCCATAGCTGGGGAGCAATCACCGAGAAGGCCCTGTCTCTAGTCTCCACCAATTTTGCCTGTGACAATGGTGGGACGGAAAGCAGGGCCTCCCCGGAGGATCTTAATCTACACAATGGTACACAGGGGGAGATGTGTTCGGACAGGTAAATTGGGCCAGGGACATTTAGGGCTTTATTGGCCAAAGCCAACTGACTGCCTAGAGAAACAGCTGTGGATCTAGGAAGGAGGCAGACTGCATTGGATAATACAGAACACTGGATGAGAGAAGGTTGGATAAACAAGACTCTACTGTATTATGGTAATTCTCGGTGCAGAATCAATGTTTTTGTTCTCTTCATATAATAAGAAGGCTGCACACTTGGCAGATGACTACACAATTGGCCAAAATATGCTCCTTTACATTTTAGGTGAAACCAATAGAAATTTTGTGCCAGCTCTGATAATAAAATAGATACCATATACCCAAAGGGGAGATTGTTCTTACCTCAGTTTGGGAATTAGATGTCAACACTGAGGTTTCCTTATCTGTATTTCCAGTAGGACCATTATTTGGTGAACTGGGACCTGATCCTGGGGAACTGCTACTGACTGATGATTCTGGGAATAAAAATAAAGATAGCAATGATAAACATCAGTTACTTTTCTCTCTCCCAAAACAAAACATCAGCATGTAGCTTATGACAAATACTTTAGATGTACAATGCATTCCTTTATTCATTTCAAGATTGGCTTTCCCTCTTATTACTTCCAGTACACAAAGGTCATAGTTTACTACTTCAGCAATATTTCCCCTCTCTGAAGAGACAGCTAGTTTCTCAGTGGCAGGCAAGATATTGAAAGGGCGTTCCTAATGAATAAAGGAAAAGGAAGTACCTTTGGCTGCATTCTCTGCTGCCTCTGCGAGAGATCAGCATGATAGAGATACTGGACTCTCAAAGGTCAAGATAACATGTCATCAATTCATGAGGCCTGCTGCCATCCCAAGGCTGTTTGGATAAACCCCTGGAGGACTCAGTTGTGAGCTGGCCTTTATATGAGTAACTAAGAAACAATACTTCATTTCTCTCAGTCAATTCTAAGGGAATCTATGTTAAACATCTCAACGTAGCATTTTAAGGGTTACAGCTTAATTTTTGGTGCAAAACACTTTACATTGTCTTGTTACGACTAAGCGATAGTTTTTGATACAATATGCTGCAATAGCACAGAGTTGTTGAAAGACAAATGCCAGTGAATACTCTTAATAAAGAAAAAGATATAATCCCCAAAATTTAGAGTTATAAGGCCAATCAGGATATGTCTCAATATATCCAACAATTGATGTAAGCTATACCACTGAAAACAAGTGAGTCAACTTCATTTTAAGCCAATGTTTAGCTGCTAACCCTTTCCTCCCTCCCAACCTTCTGCAACATTAGATTTTGTAGGTTATTTTAAAGAATATTTGTACTTTTAATTTCAGCACACATGTGAAATTGATTGGGACTACTACATTTGATATGAAAGCAGAAAACCACACAACTACTTAAGATTTAGGCCTAAATCCAATGCAATGTCACTAGAGTTGTGTTGGATTTCACCACCTGAGAAGTGGTGATGTAAAAGGCAACACGTGGAGAATATTTTTTGCTCAACCTTTTAGGCCATAGAAAACTTTATTCCATCACTTTCTTGTGGTAATAGAAGAAATTACCTCCTACACATGCAACTGATTTTGCACTAATAGTATCATAAAATCCAGGCCATTAATGCATTTTTAAAATCCATGCAACTGTTAAAATCGTATCTGCTATTGATCTCTGTTGATTTTAATTAATCTTGGAGGGCGAGAATTCTAACAGTTTTTGAACAGTCCAATTTTAAAATACTGTCCTTATCAAGAAACAAATCACAGGGTTCTGTTTTAAAATATTTATTACATGTGCTGAGCAAAACTGATATGTTTTATGCTATGGCAGACACATTATAATCATGTTTGGTATGTATGTAATTAGAGCCACATAACATTTTTGATCGTTCTAATCTACACAGATACAAAAGCTCACAAATACACATTTTGTTAGACAAATTAATTAGGCTTGAATCCAGATTTAATCATACTGAGAGTACACCACTGAAATCTGAGATTTAGGTGAAATCTGCCTAATGTAATTCACTTAATAGGACTTGTATAAGTATATCACGATCTGGATGCAACTCAACACTTCACTAGCCAAGTTTCTTCACTCTTCACTCAATAGGATAGCAAAACATAATATTGACCTTTCTTGTGGCTTTCCATTTCAGAGCAAAGAACTATTTTCTGCCCTGTTATAGCTTAAAATGCATACAATTATTAGTAGACCATTCTATTACACTGGAAAAAATGAATCTGAATGTTTAAACAGTATACTTTTTTTTCAGGCATAAACTTTTCAACTCCAAAATATTAATACAAAAGCTGTCAGGAAGAATCTTTTCTAAGTGTTAAAACTTTCATTCCTCTTTGAAGTTATATTCATTTGCTACAAAAATGTTCAATTTTTCTTATCACAATCAGCAGCCATGAAACTTATTTTAAGATAATGAGTTTTTCCTTAAGTTTTTTTTAAAAAATGGCCACTGATTGTCCATCTGTCTGGGATGCCATATACTTTTGTTAACATTTTCTGCTTAAAACAAAACAATGAAAAAATCTGGTTAGAGCTACTGAAAGGTAACCAGCCCATATCTCAAAATAAAGAAATTATTTAAAAAAACCGATAGCTCCTCCAATAATTGTGAGAACATTTTTCCACAAATTGATGGTTGCTTCTCAAAATTGTCTGTATAATCTCCTCTAATTCCTGCAAAGCAATGTTTCATCACAATCAGTTACAATGTTAACATGTTTGCCCAGATGTATATAGTATCTATCCAGCCCCATCTTTCATTACCTGTCACCTCAAATAATCTTTTCTTGAAAGAGCAGACCACCATCCCATCCTTCCTTCTGAGTAAGGGACTGCTTCTCCTTTCTGTTACCTTTTGTTTTAATCTGGAGCGAACTTTCAAGTTGGGCTCTGAGGCTGGGAATTGAGAAAACAAATGGTACAATTACAAAACTAAATGTGATAGGAAGCAGCTTTAAACAATGAGAATAATTTATTTCTATTTTATTTCATAAATCAGAAGTACTTGCTACATAGTGTTCTTTTATTAATAACTACTATTTGATTGTATACTTGATTTAATGTGCAAAGCTACCTTACATTTTTGCTACATATCCCTCCATACCATCTCACAAGACAGGTCAACATTATTTATGGGATGGTGTCTTCAGGTTCAAGAGGTGTGACTGAAAGGCACATATAAAGTTTGCATTTGAGCCCCAAAGGAAAGAGATGAATTCCAAAGTTTCCCCAAATGATGATAAATACTGTAGGAAGGACCACAGTACAACGGAAAATAGCCTTTTCAACAACATTCTTCTTGAAGTTCCTGCCTATTTCCCTCAGCTGGACAGGTCCCTGCTGTCCATAGGCTACTCAAGTGAACTAATATTCAGCTCCTACTCCAGTTCACTTCTGTATGTGGAATGATAGGGTGTAGCTCATTATTTGTCTCATAAACCAAAATATTTTTGGCCTTTGCAATATCTTTTAGCTTATATTACAAGAGATTCCTCCATATTCAGTGCACCTATTTATTTATCTAACTATCTTCCAACCAGGTATTCCCATATGTTCATTTGCAATGCAAATGTCATGCTCACTGTGTCCTGGTTCTGATAAGAGTAAAACTACATGAGGCACTGAATACCTTTTTCTTTCTTTTGGAAAAAATGGGAAGATGGGGATTTGGATCAGGGCTACGATGTTGAAGGCATAACTGTTTCCCTGTCTTGCTGACAAACCAGATAAATAAAGAGGCAACGCTACAGTAATGGATTAAACTAAGGGCAACTTTTATTAAATAGTTACCTATTTATGCTGTTTCTTGAGGAAAATAAAACTATTTGAGGGATCGATCTGATACGGGAGCGGTTGAGACAGTCTGTCATCCTTGACTTGAGCTCCCAGTCATCCCCTTGAGTAATATACCAAAGCCCTTAAGAACAATCCATAATTTACATGGTTGCTCAAAGGCCAGTTCTTATCCTGGAAGGCTAATCAATGGGTGTAACCCCCAAAGTCACCCTGACTTCTAACTAGAGCTAATACCCCAGAGACCAGCCCCAAGGACAGGATATTAATCTCCCACCCCCTAAAGGGGGGTTTCAAAATTCCCATCCAACACCAAATAATGCCAGTAGCTGAACTCTTCTTGGCTCCTCCCAATACTTGCCAAGAAAACCTATTTATTTCACACCACCCAAGCTAATTGAATAAAATCCTGAAAGGGGGGGGGGATTGCTATACGGCCTCCAATGCGACCACATAATGCTATGATGCTGAAGAAGGTGGTTGGATGGACCAATGAAATTCAAAGAGGGAGATGGAGAGTGTGTGGCTGACATAAATCGCCTACTGAGGCCACCCCCGCCCCATTCCCTAGACACATGTTAAAATCTTATTGGTCTCCTCTGGATGTCAGGAAATCCATCTACCTCAGTGATTCCCAAAGTGGGTGTTACCACTCTCTGGTGGGCGCTGCAGCGATCGGGGGGGGGGGCAGTAATGGCCACAAGTGCATTTGGGGGGTGATGAATAACTGTAAGGGGATGGTGAAAGCATAAAAGAAGAGAAGATTTAGAATAACTGATTTCCAAGGGGTAGGCCAAATATCCTACCTCCACTGCCTTATGATGTTGTAAATGTGCATTCTTTACCTCCTCTCATCACAGAGATGGGACCATTGTAGTTACCACCAAATTCAGCATGGAGAGATGCATGTCCATGACATGTCCCCAATCCAAATATTTCCCCTCTTTCTTTTAAATGAAAAAGATATTGGGAGATAGAACTACAGATTTCACCACATCTAATTGGTCATGTTCTTTCAAATTCCTTATTTTAAACAATTTTCATGATTTTATTATTTCCTTTTACCGTTTATGCCAATAAACAGTAATGCAATTCTATTTTTATTGTTTTTAAAGATGAATAAGTGTTCTCCATTCACTGAATAAGACTACATTATCACTGATTTCTTTTTTAATTCAACCTGACAATAATTGCAAAAATTCATTCATGTCATTTCCAAAATTGTTATTTAGGGTGATGTTCTATTGATAGTTCTCCATGTTCCCCAACAGTAGAAGATTTCCATGCTGGTGCCTGTATAATGTGATGCAATCCTCTGGGCCCAAAGAAAAAGTATGGTACTTCAGCACTGACTAGGGAGAGGTTCCATTTGCCTCCCAATGTGCTCTTATGCCCAGCTGCTCTAATTGCCTTGCTATTTTTAGCTACCTTCCCATCACTCTCTGCATTTCAATTAATCGCATAAACAGAGACGGCAACTCTTATGTGACTGTCTGAATTCATGCTACAGTGGAAAAGACAAATCCCTTGCATAAAAGATGAAGCATAATTATTTAAATGAAAACTATTTTATAGTGAAGGCAGACATCAGATGTTTTGTCTATTCTGAAAACAAGCAAGCAAGGAAAGCAAAGCAAATGTGTTCCTGAGTATGTTTTGGAAACAGTACACCTACAATGCCTTGCAAGAGATAACAAAAGCAATAAGCAACTAGTTTACTAATTTAGGAGGACATTTTCCCATAAAGATGAACTCTTTTCATTTTTTGAAAAAGGTAGATGCAATATAATGAAACAAAAAAAAAATACTCTCTTCCTGTGGCAAAAGTAGCTCTTAAGAACTACTGAAGAACTGTCAATGTTTTGTTCCCAAGTATGTATAAGTAATAATTCTTATTGCTTTTCATTGCTTGCTAAATTATAGGATCAAATAAATAATCTATCTGGCATGAGATCAGCTTGAGTATTTTGCAGAGTTATTCTTTAAATTGTCTAGAGTCTACATATTGAATATAAGACATTGTTTGTGGATGTCTATGTCAAACAGGACATTGTAGAGCTTGAGAGGGCTTAAGCATGTCCAACTCTATAGGACAGCCCTGTTAATTTATCATGTAAATCAGTGATTCCCAACCTTTGCTCTTCCAGCTGTTCTGGACTTCAGCTCCCAGAAATCCTAGCCCTCTTACCAGCTGTTAGAAATTGTGAAGCTGAAGTCCAAAACACCTGGAGGACCAAAGGTTGAGAACCACTAATGTAAATGAACATAGGAAAATGCTCACAACACTGTAGCTTTTTCATTTATAAAAAAATCACTTAAGGAGGACATAAAAGAACTTGGTCAGATTGATTATTTTATTTCTATCAAAATAATGGAACTCAGATTATTTGAATGATTTGATTAAAGCTGAAACTCTGATACAATATATGACCATGTAATTAAGGTAAATGGAAAGTAGTATCTTATTATCTTTCATTGTCTGGATTTCAACTTGGTGGGTGATCTCCACCCAAATATGCAAAGGGCGTTGCCTTCAAAAACAAGCAAAGAAATAAAGAAAAACCCTACATAAGCTTCTAATATTTTCTCTTTGGTGGCCAAAGGATGAAAGTTTTCATGCATTTTTCACACTTCTGAATATTTTGCAATTCTGTTTTATTGAAAGTATCATATTGTTTCCTCTAGCAAATGTATAAAACCAACAACTGAAATGTTGAATACAAGGAATTGGAGAAGTGACGGTGTTTTGACTCCTGTACAGAGTCAAGATACAATACACCAGTTGACTTTTTAAAATAAAAATGAGAAAATTTGTGGATATTCTTTAAATGTTTACTTAATATATAAATAGAACTGAAGTATGCTGCTATCTTTAGTCTGCAGTCTGCACTTGAATAAATAACTGCATCACAGAAGTCCATGTAAAGAAGTATGGCCTTTGGTGAAAATGAGATGCAGCCATTTTCTATGATACCGTATTTTGTTGCATTGTATTTAAGAAAGGTGATCACATTTCTTCTGCTTCAATTTCTACTTATGTATAGAATTGATATCATGCCTGCAGGCAAGCAGTCAGAAATGCTGGTGTGAATGAATGAATGAATGGTTGGCTATTGCTTTTGTTTATTTGGAAAGTCCAAGACTGATATCTGTATAATGACTTATGTGAGACCTAAATTCAAATCCTCATGAAGTTCCGTAAATGATCTTGGGCAATCATTATCTTAGGGCCTATCCTGCCTTACAAACAAATTGTGAGGATACATCAGGGGAAAACTTTGCACATTGCCCTGAGCTCTTAGGAAAAAAGTAAAACATGAGTAATAAATATTAGGGGACTTTTTAAATAAAGAAAATCCTACCCGTATATAAGCACGAGAAGCTATGTCTAAGGAATTCCATTTAAATAAGTTTATTTTATGATTTTGCCTTTTATGTCGCGAATTACTAAACCAGTACAACCTAATTAGCTGTATCCACAACCTAACCTTGCATCTGGCAGAGTAATTTAGCAAAATTAATTGTACACCACCAAAAGTCAATGAGACACTGAGGAAAATCCTTTGGAATGCTGTTTCCTTTCCTTTGGAAGAGAATTATGTACAATTTCAGCATGATTTGCATTACTAACAGTGAAATCCAACTGGGAGGAATCACTCTCATTTATATTACTTTCCCATGAGAAAATCAAGACAGAGCTATAAAGCTAGTGCTCTTATTCGCAAATAGCTCCATAATGCTTACTTGGCCTTAGCCAAGACATGTTACTTGGCAGCAAAAACCTTTAATCACAATTGTGGCTGAGCAGATATTCAAAATGTGACTCCCAGTCTGGTGCAAAAGACAGCACGTTCTTTGGTAAACAAATGAAAGGTAGGGATAGAATGATTCCTGTTTACACAGAGTCCTAAAAACCTCCCGTAAGAAAGAGGAATGTTTATGAAGAAACAGCCACAAAATGAGATTGGATTCTCATTGCTTTTATTTATTAAATTTATGTTTGGCTTCTGTGTATGTCATTTCATAGACACAAAACCTGCTGTGAATGAGGAAATAGTGCTATTCTCCATTAATAGCCTAAGGAAATGAAAAAAAAAGGGGGAGATTCACTTCTTGTGACAAAGGTTAAACATTTGTCAGCAAGGAACCTGTCTATACACATGAATGTTGCATGGGACAGCTTTGTCTGGGACAGTCCCGTGAGGATGTTGTAGGCTCCAGCATGTCCCTTTTGCCTTAGGGATGGCCCCATGGCCACCCTGATCAGTTGAGGGTCATTTCATTTGTGTCATCATGGTTCCTGTTGCTTTTCCCTCTAAAACTGTTCAGCAATGTTTGGAAGCTTTGTGAATATGTTGCCAAATTAGGTCTCCTGTCACCTTCCAATTACATGCCCAAGGCCTCTTGTTTAAACAGGATATATGCTAAATGCAGCAATTCTTAATGCTGTAATTCTACAGAGCTCTGTTCCTACATGTGAGCCTCTGTATGAATTTTACATCCCTACTTTTACATTGAAAGTTTGAGATATGAACAAATGAACAGAAGCGGCCCAAATGAAAGCAGTTCATTATTCATCTCTGTATATTATTTATTGTGTTTTGACAAACATCTCATAGTCTGCATTCTCTCTGTTGCTGGTGTGTTCTGTGTCTAGGTATTTGAAATGGTGTATAGAAAACATATGGTTTCAATAATATTGCAGCCCTTTTATACAGACAATGAGAATTGAATTAAGGACTATTTTGAAACCCCCATGGAGATGTAAAAGTATCAAAGGCTGCAGCAGAACAATACTGCTAAATGTCTGAAAATATTTGGCTTTATCAGTCAACAATTTTACACCTAAAGTATTGATTTATTTAATACTATACATTTTTAATATAGGAGGATAAATTCTAAATTTCTACAATGAGTTATAATCTGGATTTGAAAATGAATACTGTTGGAAATTACACTTATAAAAGGCAGAACAGAAAAAAGTATTTTGCAACAGTTTTCTATATTTGTCACTGGTATGATAGTGTGTTATCATAACTGCTTCTTGGGAGTGGTTGTAGCTGATGAGTCAAAGAAAGCATAAACTCCTGCCTTAGCATCTACAAATATTTGGGGAGAAAACTCTTGATAAGTGACACAGTTGTACAAAAACATTCAATATGTCTCTTATTGAGGATGGAGAGATTATTTCTTTGTAAAGCCTATCTCATTTGAACTTATTGCACATAGTTAAAATAACTGAATATATATTTTGCATATGCCCAAAATTGGAGCACCTGTTAATAATATCCACTACTTAAAGTATGAGCCAAACACTTGTGGAATGATGCTTACTCCTTGGGATTACATTTTGGGATTTTAAGTGAGACATGTTCACTTCTGTGTTTACCAAATTCAAATTTGAATCGCATGTTTAGTTGTTACTATACAACAGACAACAAATGTGAAGTTAAACATTTTTTAGATTTATAGTACATGTTGGTTTAAAGCCAAACCTTTTAAAGTCTGATATGTAAAAATATCCCAAGTCATATTCAAAGTCTGTGAGTGTTTGTGTTTGTATGTGCTTATACATAACACAACAAAAAAGATTTAGTGGTACATCTGAAACTAACTAATGTGTCCACACTCATACATTATCAATCTGAGTTGAGATATAAACCATGTTTAAGTGTTCTAATAATGAGTTTAACTTCTTCAGGACTTCTTCCCATTTGTGTCATTTCCTCCAGTGTGGTTTTGTGAAGGAGATTAGAAGTTTCCATTGGTATTTTATAGTAATCACAGTTCAGTGTGCTATCAGAAAGCTCAATCGCACAACCCCCTCCCCCACTCCAATAGCTGTATAAATTGTAACTTGAAATTGGCCTATTTTAAATTGTTATCAAAATTAATGACAGCTTGTCCAAGTTTGTAGTGGGCTGTGAAAAGTTTTATGCATGCTAGAGAAGGGGAGCATCAAAAACAGAGGATAGGCTAGAATCATTCTTGTTGTCTGAATGAGAACATCATAGAAAACCAAAACAAAAGAGAATGAGTTGACATTTAAAATATTTTTTTCATAGTCACCAGTTTTGCGGAGAGGGAAATCATCCTTGGCATCTTGTGCTCCTGGTAATGGGTATTTGTAAGAAGGAGAAGTTCCACTTAAAGGTGGAGAACTTTGATCTAGTGAAGTATGGTGAGCAGCCCTGGAAAATGAAAGGAAAGGAACAAAGGATCACTTCACTGACTAGTGTTTTGTGATTTAACAGTAATTGTTCATCCATGTTATCCAAATATTTTTTTCACTGTGTACATGTTTTTAACATTTATGAAAAGTGCTCACTTTCCAGTAGCATGCAGACAAAATTTGCTATTTTGTTAACAACTGCTGCATTTTAATGCAAACAGATCCCTATTAGCCAGGTAAATATACCAAAATTCAATTGTATACATTGAGGATGCCTGCCATAGATGTGGGCGAGACGTCAGGAGAGAATGCCTCTGAAACATGGCCATACAGCCAAGAAAACTCACAGCAACCCAGTGATTCTGACCATGAAAGTCTTTGACAACACAGTGTAACATCGTTCTACTTTCACTATTTTTATATAAAGCACTCATAGTCTCTAAAGGGACAATCAGTATTATTGGGAAATTTTTAAAAGTGCAGGAGTGTATCTGCACAACACAACACTGATACTTTTTAACTGTCATGTCTTCATTTTAAGTAATCCTCAAATTGGTAGTTAGAGAGCTGTAATACACTGCCCTGAACTACACCATTTTGTCTTTCCCTATTGTTGTTGTTGCTGTTATTTACTGTTGATATGGTCAGAAGATTAATCAATAAACAAATCTATCTATCTATTATGTTTATTTATACCCTGCTTTGTCTCTCCTGAAGGAAACTCAAAGTGGCTTATAATTAAAAGTATGACCACACAATTTAAAATATAGAAACATACACACTCTAAAACAGAATTAAACATTACAGTATTAAAAATTCATAGTTAAAATTTATTAAATCATATTCAAAGCTAAAAATCACAGAGGGTACCCCTGGCCTATCAGTCTGATATGACTGTAGTGTAATCCCATGGTTCAGCATAATCTTATTTAGGTTTTTGCCAAGGGAGAAAACATATCACTTTTTTGGCATTCTATAATTCTATATTCTGATCTATAATTTATCATTCTACCAACCTAAATAAATGATTTCCTTAAATGAAGAAAATGTAGTGAAACATATTTCCTTGTTTGTTTTTAGGATGAAAGAGAAACCTCACTAAATCTGATTCTTAAAATCTCACTCCAAACATTAGACTTTAAATTGCAAGCATTATGAGTCTATTGTCCAATAAAAGGTTATTGAAGAAGAAAGCAGAACTTTATACAAGAGAGCAAAGAGCTTTATAAAAATGAATGCAGCAGCACACAAACACTAATCTGAATTTCTCATTTAGAATTTTGATCTGAAAACTGCAGCTATTCAAACATATATTTTTTAAAAAATATATTTTTCTTATTGTTAAGATATCTGAACAAAAATAGTGGAAATAAATACATTTTGAAAGCATGTGAATAAGCATGTTTTACATGGACAACCACATTCACCTAACACCAGGAATCCTAGAGCAAAATTAGACCACAATGTCAATGAGCATTGGCCAGGTGTAGTGCATTTGTTCACATATTGTTCCTCCATTTACAAAAATGATTCAACAAACCAAGACATGAAACATGGAGTTTTGATTTCGCTTAGACGAATTTTATTATTTGTGCTTGGATTACATTTTTTATTCCTTTTGGTAGCATTAATTTTTGTTTAATGTTAGCGTATACTACATTATTACTAAGTTAGGAATGTGGGATTTTTATTTAACATTAACATAAGAGTATTAAGTTCATACATTTTAAATTATAATTTATGACATTAAATATTACATTAAATGTAACTGGTGTCGTGCATAATTTAATATTGATGTATTAATACATGTAAGCTCATCTAAATTCATTTTGCAACTGCTTGTGGGTCATTCTGAAATGCTATTTCCCCTCTATAAAGTCTTATTCTTCTGTGAACTGCTTTGACCATAGTGATGATTTTTGTATTATATGTGAACCTGGAATTGTTTTGTAATTCAATTAGTCGTTAAAATATATATGTCCCTTCTCTATTTGAGGATTATTGTTATATGCCTTCACGCATAACTTTGCAAAAAGAGGAGCAAAGATTAAATGAACAGGCAGGGTTTTTTTTTTTTGCTTGTTCACATTGTGATTAAACCTGGATTCATGTGTTAAAGTCACAAATTAATGTATATTAATGTGCCAATTTATTAAACACCAAGAGTATTAATCTAAATGAAAGATAACAGATAAAATTTATTTCTATTGCTGATAATTCTAAGTGCAGTTAGATTAATTCCTAACAACAAGTCTAAATTGTGATTTTCCAAAGAAGCATAAAGGTGAAAAGTCATACCCAGAAAAGATACAGCTATCAATATGTAGAATACAATCATAAATAAGGATGTATAGTAATCTTCTCAATTTCTTATAATTTTTCTATGTGCAATATTTTCATGTTTTACATGCTATTGCTCTGTTATATTCAATATATGGCAATCATTTCCTCTGCATTTGTAGTGTTTCAATATGTTTCTGTTTGCAACTCATGCTTTGAGATGTATATCTTGGTTGAAAAAAAATAGCAGTGCTTGGAAGCATTGCTTTGGGGCTATATCTCCCTCTACTGGCTAGGGGAATTTGGGGAGTTACAGTATTGTAAAAAAAAAAATTCTAAGCACTGGCTCACAGATAGGGAGGATCCTTCTACCACAAAGGGGGAGTGGGGATGTAACTTATCAGACGGTTAAACGTACGTGTACCAAAGCTTGGGATGCCGACTAATGGAATGATTCTTCCCATTGGTTGTAGGATCTTTTGTTGCTGATTTACTCAGTAGAAACTCTTGAAGTTTCTGCTTCACCTCTGTACTGGCCACTGCTCCTAAAACACACAAGAGTTTTTACTTAATCTCAACTGGCAGAGTACTGAGAATTCATTAATAAAGACAACCACATACAACAGCTGTCCATGAGTAAAAATAAAAAAGGGTATTGGACAGCCTCTTAAATTCCATCTTCTGAGTTTGTGTTAGGTGATATAGGAAGAACCAATAGAAACTAGTATTATGTATTTAGGAAGACATGTCACAAAATGGTGAACTCTAGATATATGACATTCTAACTCCCAGAATCCTCCAGCTGTAGTTTCACATATCTGCAATGTCCCAGCCTGAAAAGGGTTGCCTCAATCTAAACCACACACACACACACGCTCTTTATCTTCCTGAATATGTTTGTGACTAACATCACAATCATTTGCATAAAGTAAATTCATAAGTTTAAAACCAATATGGGAATTCCTTTGAATCCAAACATGCTTTACAGGGTGGACTTTCTCTAGGCCTATCAGCCTTAATCCATTTGATGAATTTTTTAAAAACCTGCTGGTTGAATGTAAAGAGGCACTTAATAGCCACATCTAAATGGTCCCACAGAAAACTAGAAGCTCAGTTTGGCTTTTTCATTAAATATTAATCATAAACATGTCTGATCTTTTGAACTATCGAATGAATTCTTTTCATTCTGTATCAAGGTGATTGGCTACAGAGAGCTCTCAATATTTAATCCATAAGATATAGTCCTGTAAGCTTCACTGTACTATGATGGTGTGGTCATTCCTTCCCAGTTTCAGTTTATTTCTGAGAGTACTATATAAGTTATTTGTGGATTTTTTTTTTACAAATGGAAAGTAGAAACATCTTTTAGTATGTTGAAGACCTGCTTCTGGTATCATCCCTTTTTCTTTTACTGTAAAGTCATTGTTCTGTATATTAATGAGCAACAGGAATGCATTAAACATTCAAGGTTTTATTTGGCGAGAAGGAACAGCTAGAGCCATATGTCAAATATTGCAGTCATTAGAGAAAAATGAGAGTCTGAACATATATTGGATATTTTCGAAGACAAAGTACAATGAGAGGGGCATACCACATAACATATGTGTCATTGTGATCAGTGAAGTAGCACAGGTCCCACAGAATCTTGTTTCAAAAGCTAAAACATGTCACTAGGCTACTTCTAAATTTATATAATTTACCCTATATGCTAAAACCATCTTTAAAGGATGCCGTAAAGTTCTCAGTTTTGCTGAATATTAGCACACACTTTAACATCAAGGAAAAATTCCAGAGGGATAATGAGTGCATTTGAGGGTTACAATTTGTTACCTACTGTAAATAGCATTTTGAAACACAGAAACTGTCATTTTTCACTCCTATTCCATTTGTGAGGGGAATTATATGTATCTACCTCCCCCTAGTGAGTATCACATTCCAGTAATGTCCTTTTGTTCTGAATTTATTTGCCTTAAAGCCTGAGACACAGAGTGCTATATAAGTTAAAACACACTGTGCTGTGACTGAATGCTGTGTGCACACATGCAAGTGTGCAGAATTTTTTTCAATTCAGTTAATAGGACTGATGGTAAACCTTAAGAGAAAAGCTACATATTGAATCTGAACAGTAGTTTATTGCCCAGCAATACACACAGGCTTTAACAAAGGGAGAGGAGGGGATGATGGAGGAGAAGGCAGCTGGCAAGCCAACTGATCTCAGGCTGAGTCTAGTCTTTCAGTTTGTGCCTTGACTGAGGACATCTTACTTTCTCGACTCCTTTCTTTGCTCCTGATTGGAGGTAGCTGCTCCCGCCGATGTCTCTCCAATTCCTGTTCTTGCCGCTGTTGTTCTAGTTTCTGCTCTTTCTCAAGGAGTTCTTGTTGTTGCTTAATGGCTAAGAGTTCCTGTTGTAACTTGCAAAGAACACAGCATCATGAGAAAGTGAAGGTTTTAGGATACAAGTAGCCACAAGAAGTTTGTACCAGTGGTCCTACTACAAACTGAGGTTGAAACTAATGGGAATTAATTTAGTTATAACTGACTTGTTCGATTAATTTCAATTGGCTTTATGGAGAGATCATGTCTAGGTTACCCCAGAAGTGTCTAAATCAGTGGTTCTCAACCTGTGAGTCCCCAGGTTGAGAACCACAACTCCCAGAAATCGTAACAGCTGATATATTGGCTGGAATTTCTGAGAGCTGTAGGCCAAAACACCTGGGGATCCACAGGTTGAGACCACTGGTCTAAGTTATTCAAAAGGAATTACTCTCAATCAAGTCTATATAGAATGGAATCATTTGGGTCAATAATGAATTTTTGCTTTTTCTGATTCCTTGTTTTTTCCACACTGAGCTATCCTGCTGAGACACTGAGAACAATGAAAAGGCATGAGCATGAGAGACAAATCAAAAACTCTTTTTGAGTTTTCTTGCAATTCTTAAGAGAAAGCCCATACTTAATTTTCATTTATATTTGAGGACTCTTTCTTTTTTCAAATCTATTTGGTTTATTTTTGTTTTAAAGAAAATATAATCCAGAAGTAAAGAACATTTGCAGATCTATTTGCAAAACTAGTCCACAAAAGAATTAAAGGCAATTTTGGAGCCGTGTATACTTGACTCTCTCAGGTTACTATATAAAGGGAAGGAACAGTTGGAGCCATATGAGGTGTTCACAACTTCTAGAGATATCATTTTTATTTGAGGAGTTAAGCCACTTATAAATATGAATGAAATTCTGGACACAGGCCTAGCAATGAAAAATATCACCACAAGCATTAAACTGATCTTCTGTGCAGTTCTGACTCAACTCTGAAAGACTTGCAAAAAGACTTGCAGAGAGCCATTCCTATGCTGTGTGATGGCAAAATAAACTTTTAATACAGGATAATCAAAGGGATAGCAAACTTACATAGGCTTTCATCACAAAGAATGCTCATGAAAAAAATAACAGTCCACAGTTCATGATTGAACTATTCTATTTTTTTATGAGACATGTCCCCTTCCCCATGTGACTGTTCTTTCAATGTTAAACTTACTATTCTGTTCTTTGAGGAGAAAAGAGACATTTTGCTACCTTTATGTGCTCCTGGATTTGAGCTTGGTGCTGTCGTGTGAGGTTCTCATGCTGTTTCTGAAATTCTGCTATCAGGAGCTGCTTCTGAATTTGCTGCTGCTGCTGAATCAAGAGGAGCTCCTGCTGCAGCTGCTTCTCACGCAACAGTGGGTCCACCATAGGAACCATCATCCTGAGATCTGTTCGCAAATCTAATGGTGTGATAGGTTCTAAGCCCACGGGAACTTCTGATTTCACATCCCCTAAAATAGAAGAAGAAAAACAGAAAGAGGAAATAGATTTCCAGCTTTGTAAAATCATGAACTGAGTGGACAAAGTTCAAAGACAAATATCTTCCTCTACCTTTGTAACACATGGGGAGAAAGTAACAGAAGCTAATTCTTTGACCTATTGAAAAGAGCAATTAATTTTGTAATTATCAAGAACTGCCCACAGTCTATGGAATTTGCTTCCCAAGGAGAAAGGCAGGCTTTTTTTATATAAAAAGAGAGAGAATTATAACAATTTCTTAGAGAGAATTTAAGGGTTCTCTCAAATTTTTCAACAAATGTACTATGCATCAGAAATATTTTGATAGCTCATTAGTTTGAAATGATGGTTTTTAATGTATCAATTTTTATACTTATTGGTATATACTTATGATAAGCTATGAGACATAAACATATTTTCCTAAATCAACTTTAAGATCTAGTCAGGGGGTGCTATGGTTTTTAACTAGGAATATGTTTTAATGGATTTTAACTGTGAATTTTTAAAATACTGTTTATATTTAATTCTGTTTTAATGTATGCTTATTTGTATATTCTATATTGTATGCTAATGCTTTTATGTAAAGCCGCTTTGAGTCTACCTTGGGAGTGGGGTATGAATAATAACAGCAACAACTTCTCTGGAGAATGTGTACTGCAGATAGATTAGAACTGTAGCAAACAAGACAGACAGAGAACAGAAGAACAGAAGATCTGCATATAATGCATCCTTCTGGGATTTGCTGTCACAAAATGTCACAGTGGCTAAGGGCATAGGTGACTCTCTTTTAGATGTACTGAAGAATAATTTAGCTAACTAGAACCTTCATGTTCAATACTAAGAAGCACACTAGTTCCAGTGGAATGAAAATCAGGAATGGGCTGTTATTTTCACACTTCATGCATACCTACAAATGATCAGTGGAGCACCTAAAGAATAATAGAGTGGATTAGGAGTGTTATATTTCTACCCCCTTCCTATTGACGTTTCCCCCCTTTACAATACTAGAGAAGAAATAGAAACAAATGAGCATAAATCCACACCACCTTAAGCATTGTATTTTGAGCAATGTCACTTGACATTTTATATACACTTAAATCATAGCACTGCCGTGATTGCAGGAATAACATTTTTGTTTCTGTTGCCCTGATGAATGCATTTACTTTGGAAGAAACTGCTTTCTAGTAGAAAACGATAATACGGTATGTTGTTAAAGTCAAAATCTGTAACCAGATACATGCATGCTCTTCTGGTCAATGTTGAGCTTTAACTGCACCACTGTAAAAGGGCATGGCTCAGTGTAAACGTGCAGGTCGTTTGGGCACCTGCAAGGAATACTGAGCAAATTCCCTCAAGTTTTAATTTAAACATAGGCCCCTAGATCACCAGAAAGCTGCCTTTTGTCAAGGTAAACTGTCAGTCTATCCAGCATAGTATTGTTTATCCTGAATGGCAGCAGTTTTTTCCTCATCCCTACCTGATGCCAGAGATTGAACACCAGAATCTTTATGTGTGCTACATTTCGACCAATGAAATGTAGGTTTTCTTAGTATTAGTTATTCTAAGGGGAACAAATACAGGACTTCTAGGGAAAGGAAGACTGGAAGGAGACAAAGGTTTGTTTTTTTGGGGTGTTTTTTTTTTTTGGTCATGTGAGGAGCGACTTGAGAAACTGCAAGTTGCTTCTGGTGTGAGAAAATTGGCCATCTGCAAGGACGTTGCCCAGGGGATGCCCGGATAAATTTTATCATCCTTGTGGGAGGCTTCTCTCATGTCCCCGCATGAGGAGCTGGAGCTGATAGAGGGAGCTCATCCGCCTCTCCACGGATTCGAACCTGTGACCTGTCGGTCTTCAGTCCTGCTGGCACAGAGGTTTAACCCACTGTACCACCAGGGGCTCCGGAGACAAAAGTCATCATCCTACATCAAGGAACTGAAACATGATACTTTATCTTGAACTGAAACATGATACTATTACTCCCATCTGCCCATATATTCTTTTGATGGCAGGGCACCAGGGAGCATTTTTGAGCCCAGGGATGGGCATACTGGCCAATGTCTGACATGGTCTCAAAGGTTAATGCAGCCCCCTTATAGCTTTTTACAACGGCCCACTCCTACTCTAACCATTTGTGTCTCATCCCAAATTCTCCCCGCACTGTTCCACATATCTATCAAACTTTGGGGGGGGGGAGGGAACTGGGGAGAAGAAAAAAGAAGTAATTCAGACACTGAAGAACCAGCTCATCTCAGCTCTAAAGGGGAAGGAAAATGGAGTACACTCTCCTATCCCTTTCCCTTGGAATAATGATTCTCGACCTGTGGGTCCCCAGGTGTTTTGGCCTAAAACTCTCAGAAATCCCAGCAAGTTTACCAGCTGTTAAGATTTCTGGGAGTTGAAAGCCAAAACATCTGGGAACCCACAGGTTGAGAACTACTGCTCTGGAGAAAGACAGTTGAATTTCTTTCATGCTCTCTCCCCTCATCACCAGTAAACAGCAGCCCTTCCCATGGCTTCTCAGTTGAGGTGGGAAATTTTGGATGTCCCTACAGAATGATCCCTTGAGCTCCATCTTTTTGAAGCATTTAACTAGCATAAATAGCCCAATGTAAAATTTAAGAATTCATATAACTGATCTGTCTTAAGAAATAGAATTTTATGCATCATTTACATGTGTTTGTGTGTGCATGTTATCACCTGTCAAGTTACGGCAAAACCATGAATTTCAAAGAATTTTCTTACACAAGGAATACTCAGAGGTATTTTTGCCAGTTCTTTCCTCTGAAATATAGCCTAAAGCACCAAGTGTTTCTTGTCTTCCTTCTAAGCAGAACTGACCCTGCTTAGCTTTCATGATCAGGATGTAGTGCAGTTAGGATATCTAGGCTAAACTGGACCCCAAACCCCTTTCTGTAGCTGAAATAAGAGCAAGACCCGTGGTGCAAAAGAAATCTGTGTGCATTTCATCCGGTAGAGGGCAGTAACACACAAGCCTATTAGACAGCTATTTTCAAAAGCTAACCTATAGATTACCCTTTATGTCTGGATACATATATCAACAGTGCATACATCTGGAGATAGGAAGAGTATTCCATTTTTACTTTAAAGATAGCATTTTCTTTCTGTATATCTCTTCTTTTTATTCAAGAATACAAAGTAGAACATATATTTTCCCATAAATTGTTTTTTTTTTTCAAACAGAAATGTGCAGCATAATTGTAAGGGGGATTTTTTTTGTCATATATGCATATGTTTTCAAGATTGTGACAAATCCTTTCAGAAATAATCTGCTCCCCCGCCCCCCGGTACTGATTGTGGAAGATGCTAAATATCTTTTTTTCCTATTGCCAAACAGATATCAATTGTTGCTGTTATTGCTAATGGTAGGAGCATTTATAGTGCTATTTACTTTGTCAAATAGCTCTGGTGAATCTCAAGGTATCATTTGCGTTTCCTGCTTTCCACCCTGCTAGAATTACATTATCCAAGTCCTGGCTTTTGTTCGAAGTCTAATCACAAAATTGCAAAAATCACCCTTAAGTTACAAAAAATACCCTTGATTATAAATAATTGTCTCAGACCAAAAAGAAAAGTGGATAGCCAGCAAGAGCCCAGTCCTTTCATCCAATTTATTCTGCAGCAAGCCACATTCCATTTGTCTAGACTAAATATAGCAGCGTTTATACAAGAAATCAATAGTGCTTGGAGAGAGCAGAGCAAAGACATGAATATTTCATCAAACTCACAGAGAAATGGCAATCAGCAAACTGACAGCTCAGTGGAGGCTGACTCCTCCGGCCTTCCAGATAAGTCTTTGTTATTTGGACGATAGCTCATCCCCTTCAAGTCCCAGTCTTATCACAGGCACTTTTCTATTTTTAGCATTAATTGCATCGTAGGTGACAAAGGCTTATCATGTTTAAAGTGGAGAGATAGATTTTCTTACATCCGTTCTGCCACATAATAAGCCTCACCAGGAACAATTGAAGTTACTAGAACTGAGCAAAAATACTGCTTCCCAAAACTGCCAATTGGAGCCTTGTCTGGTCTGGTGCCTTCAAGTGGTTTTGGACTACAGTTCCTATCAGGTTCAGTCTACTCTCATGTATTTGGCAATATGACTTTCATGAAAGCCACACCTTCTGCCAAAAACTGATACGCTAAAGCCATATCTTCTGGCTACTTTGTCCAACATTTTCTGATTTGATGGCTTTTATAAAAGTCACAACTTCTGCCAAAACTGACTTCTTCATTCAGTATCTCCTGATTTAATGACTAGATGACTGACAACAGAAATGGACCACCACTTCTGTTAGGAGTCATGAAGGAGGAAGGAGACTGGATCCATTCACATTTTCTTATATAGTACAACCTTACAAGATACTGGTTTGGATGATTACTATGCAGCATATAGAGACATGTCACATTATTATTTTAAAAAATAGGAATCAAAGCACTTGTGACTTTACTGAAAGTGATCCAGCAATCTATCAATAGCTTCTCAACAAGACATCACAAATAATAAATTACTAGTGAAGGAGGCATCCATTTTGATAACTTCTAGAAAACAAGAAGCTATGGCATCATGTTTGAATCTTCAAAGATACTTTACATCTACAAATATCATTTCATACCATTAGACTGTCAAACAGATTTTGGTTATTCTGAAAGATCTTTTTGACCTATAAAAATAATTAGCAAAAAAAAAAAAAAGCTAAACAACTTTTAAACATGAGTGATTGTTGTTGTTGTTTTTAAACATTTTTGGGATTTGGCAAATCTATCATAGAATCATAGAATCAAAGAGTTGGAAGAGACCTCGTGGGCCATCCAGTCCAACCCCCTGCCAAGAAGCAGGAATATTGCATTCAAATCACCCCTGACAAATGGCCATCCAGCCTCTGCTTAAAAGCTTCCAAAGAAGGAGCCTCCACCACACTCCGGGGCAGAGAGTTCCACTGCTGAACGGCTCTCACAGTCAGGAAGTTCTTC